TCAACAATTCTGACAACCAAGCGTTTCGCTCGGAGACATCCTCAAATTTTAATTCGCCGGCCTCCTTCGACCTCGTTATTTATCAGGGAAAAAATTCGCCGGCCTCCCTCAAGCAGGCACCGGGGGACAGGTTTACCTACTAAAAGAGAACCCTGGGCCTATGCCCTTTCCGGGGAAAAACACCACCTACGGCAGACCTGGCTCAATGATTCTGGCCAATTTCGGGGCTCCGGAGCCCTACCACTAACCGGGTCCCCTTACCTGGGGTCCTGGCTATACCCGACAGCAGGGGTATGCGGGTATGCACCTGAGCCATGCCTTCAGAGTTCATGGAGCACCCCCGCCCCTGCAAAAGAAGTCCGCCGCAACGGCCATTGGAGCCCTAGCCGTCGGGAGCGCTTGCTCCGCCTGTGGCGCCGCCAGTTCTGGTACACCACGCTTCGGCGCGACACGCTGTCCGCTAGCCACGCCTTGTTCTCAACGTCCCGAGCCTTTCCTCTCCCCCCGCCCCGCGGAGCGGAACGGCACGCTTTTTCTGCTTGCACGGCATAGCGTGCCGCCAGGGCCGCCGCCGCGACTTGCGGATAGCGTGCCGCTCCGCTCCGCGGGGCGGGATGGCCTCGAAAGGCTGGGGACATTGATGTTTGGGAACGGAGATGTCGCGCCGAGGCGTGGTGGGCCAGAACCGGCGGCGCGACACGCTAAGCAAACGTTCCTGACCGTATTGCCCTCCGTCAGTGCCCCTGACCTTCCACTCCCTGGCCTTCGCGCCATAGCTCGGGCCTCCGGCAGCCGAACATATCCGTATCCGCGCCTTCGCGCTCTGGATCCAGGGGCGCGAACCCGCGGATACGCGGTCACACGGAAACGTTCTGCGCGGGGCATCCGAGAACAAAAACGCCCCGTATCCGCGGGGCCGCGGCCCAGGGGCCCGGCCCGCGAGGCCGCGGATCCCGACATGCTGCTCGCCCACGATCCACTGGATGTTTTTTTGGTGAGGGTTTCCTCTGCCTGGGATCGGCCTGCTGTCGACGAGACTGGCTGGCCCTCGAGGAGCCTGGCCTGCGGCTCGGGGTGAAAGAGGAGGCGGAGGAGGAGGAGGAGGAGGAGGAGGAGGAGGAGGAGGAGGAGGAGGAGGAGGAGGAGGAGGAGAAGGGGGAGGAGGCGGAGGAGGAGGAGGATGAGGAGGAGGAGGGGGAGGAGGAGAAGGGGGGGAGGAGGAGGAGGAGGCGGAGGAAAGGCGGAAGGAGAGGAGGAGGGAGGAGGAGGAGGAGGAGGAGGAGAGGAGCTCGGCTGCACCGTGCTGGGTTGAACGCTTGGCTGCGCCCTGCGGGGCCCGGCCAGGCCTGGAGGCGCCGCTTCAGCTTCCCCTCGGCCCTCTGCCGCTCCAGCCTCGCAGCAGCCAGGGCAGGGGGGGTACGCCACGGGGGCGGCGGGGCGGGCGAGTCGCAGGATGGCGGAGGGCGCCTTCGCTTCCCTCCTCCGTTCCTCCCTCCTCCCTCCCTCATCCTTCCCTCCTCCCTCCGCCCTCCCTCTCTCCCTCCGTTCCTCCCTCCTCCCTCCCTGCTTCCTGCCTCGTCCCTCCTCTCCCCCCTCCTCCGGCGGGGCGGGTCTGGGGGAGCCAGGGGGGTGGGGGAGCGAGAAGGGGAAACGAAGCGAGGCTACGGTGGAGGGGTCTGGAAGAGGCAAGGGCGAGATGCAGGATGGGATCGCACTCGCAGCCTCCCAGAACAGCGCTGGGCGTCTGCCGCTCCCCGCTCCTCTGCCGACCGTCCAGGAGCAGCTGGCGAGGCCGCTCGTTCCGCAACGCAGTCGCTGGACACAGGACCGATCGGCAGGTGAGCGACGAGAAGAAACGGGCCTTGCGCGAGACGACACAGCGACCTTGCGCGGTAACCTACGCGGACCGCCAGCACGGCACCCCACGTTGGAGACGAGGGCGCGCACGCGCCACCTTGAGCAGGCACCTTACGCGCGAACGTCGGCACGGTCGACCGCGTTTGTCTGCGTCGCTCAGGTGGTGATTGGGCCTCTCGGTCAGAAGTCGGCCGAACTCAGAGCGATTCCACGCCCCTCTTTGTGGGCATGCCCCTTCCTCTCTGCATCGCGCTGCCGCCCTGGCTCCTCGCCCTCGTGCGCCCTCTCCGCACGCTGCTGCTCTTCCTCGTTCTCGTGCTGCCTGCGCGCTCCCGCTCCTCATCCAAATTCGGTTCGCTTTGGTGTGAGCAGCGGGCGCTGCCGCATACTGCCACATCGGCTGTACCGCTGATTCCAAGATCTCGTCTCATCGCCTGTGCTCAAGTGCAGAATCGAGCTGGGCTGCCAGCATCGTGGTCACACGAATGTGTCGGTCACGCTGTGGGTCGCGTCGGCTCGTCTGTTTTCTGTTTCACTTTGATTGCGCCCTACGAGACGTATGGCATCACACGATAGGGGGGCCCAGTCGGAATACGAGACAGGCAGACCAACATCAAATTGAATTGGGCCGGACTGAGCTAAGAGAGCCTACGCGAAACCAGGCTGCCATAAAGTAGGGTAAAGTTGGCGAAGCTAGGCTGAGCTCGGCTGGCGCAGCAACAGGCACTACATACGCAACAAACATGGGAAACGACAAGCTACTGAGGTCATCGACATGTCAAGCTAAGCTGCGCTGCTATATACAAACGTCGGCCCACCCGCGCCCCGCCCGACCCATGCCTTCTGAAGCTTATCCGCAACTGTGGGAGTGCAACTCGCGTTCCCTGCGCAGCACGGGGCCGATTCCAGCAACCCTGGATCCAAACAAGCTGGCGCCACACTTTTACTTCCGCCGCCCTCCGCCGACCCTCCGCTGGCGGGCCGGCCGCCGTTCTGCGCCCGCATGCTTCCGCCGCACGCGCGACGCGCCGAAGGCGAAGGCCTCTCTCCGCAACGCCCCGACGTGCTGTTCCAGTGTTCCGCGTATGCCTGTCCCTGATTTCCCACGCAGGGCTCAGAACACGTACTGCCAGGCGCGCGCGAGAAGCCCGTCTGCAGCTGGCGGTATCCGGCCCCTGCCCCCGCCTCCCATCGATCCTCCTGCATCGATGGGAGGTGGGGGGTAGAGGGGTCGGACTTCGCCGCGCGCTCGGCGAGTTCCTGACCCCACCCCGGCCGCCCATCGAGGTGCCCAAATCGTGAAATCGTTGATCGGCGAGGGTAGGGTCCGGATTTCGCCGCAGAGCCTCTGCCCGCGCCCCCTCGGGCGACCGAGTGCGGCCGGCCCCTCGCAGCAGGAAAGTCCCGGGGCCTGACGTTGGACAGCCTCGCCTGCGCCGCGCGCTCCGCCTCCTCGGCGCGCGCCGTGGACTCCTTGCGGGCGGCCGCGGGCTCGGGGAGCAACTCTAGAGGTCTTCGCGAGACCGACTCCAGGGCCACGACAGGCTGTCAACACCCAGGCTGCGCTGGTTTGGACCCACGAGTCAGCGGGAGTGGAGTAAAAGAGCCGGCTTGCAAGGTCGCCCAACTTCGCACACTGCGCCCTGCGATGCGCGACGCGCGGTTCTCTTCGCACCCTCGCGCCCAGGTGCTGCCCCCCGGGAGAAAAGGCAACCGCTCTAGACCTGGACCGCGACGGGCGAAGCGCGGTTCTCTTCGCAATCCAAGGGGTGGCCTAGGTTGTTCCCCAATCGGTGCTTGCACTGAAGGGTTCCTAGCGAAAATTAAAAGAAAGATTTTGCGAAAATTTACCGCCGATTTTGGTAGCAGGCTGGGTTCCCGGGTTCCCGGTTCCAGGTTCCCGGGTTCCCCGTCGATCTTCTCAGCGCAAACCATCCACTGATTGGGTTTGTCTCCCTGGTGCAAACTTCGATCTTAAATACTGCAGCACCGATGCTGAACTCACTCTCCCAGGGGTTGCGTCCTGAGCGAAGGTCGGGGCTGCCGAGCTGCCCCCCGGCCGGGGCGCGGCGCAGCCCGGCAGGAAGGGCCCAATCTTCCCGGGTCCTTCGGCCCTCGATCCGGCCACCGGGGTAACGAGTTCTCGTGGGCGTGCAAGAGGGTGACGTCCAAGAAGGGGGGTCGCAGATCATTGCCACGCATGTGCGCGGACGAGGGGGGGAGGCGAGGATACGCATCGAACGAAGGAAGAGGGGAGCCATGAGATCTGGTGGGGTATCATGGCCCCCGCCAGGATATCCACACACACACACACCCCTTCGGCAGGTTCGTGTCGTGTGGACCTGGCGTTGGTTGCTGACACCACGAAGATCATTCAACCTTGAACAATCGGCCGTTTCCGAAACGTCAGATCGTTCAACATCGACCGGTTCTGGGTTGCAGGCGGCGTTCAACGTTGAACGTCGGCGGCGGGCACGACGCGAACCTGCGGCAGTCATCACCACCCTCTTGGCCGCCCCCGAGATCATTGAGGGGAACGATTTCGCTGCCCGCGGCCTCTCGTGCTGTGAGCTGTTTGGCCGGCCGCGGCAAGGAAAGCGCCCCAGGACGGAACAGCATAGCGCCGCGAGCGAGGCAGACGTCGAGCGAATGTTGTATCATGGAGGCTAGATTGCGTTTGTCGGCGGAGGGCGTCGAACATATTGCCTCCAGGGGCCACTACCATGGACCTCGCCTAAAGGCAGAAAGGGGGGGGAGAAGGATGAGGGGGAGAGGTAGAGATGGAGGAGGAGGAGAAAGAGGAGGAGGAGGAGGAAGGAGGAGGAGGAGGAGGAGGAGGAGGAGGAGGAGGAGGAAGGAACACTGCTATCAGGACCTCATCTTTTCGCCCTCTCAGTCTAACTGAAGGCTTTTGGTCGCAAGCCACGTCGGATCCTGGTCAAATAACCCTCTCCTGGCGGTGTGCTTCGTTCGCAAAGCTTGCGCAGAGAGATATTATAACTGTTCGGCGCAGCCCAGGCCTCCATCCTCGCAGACAGCGGCCAGCGCTGACAACAGAGGGCAGGAGGAGATGGCTACTCGCGGATCACGGGCGACCTACTAGGGACCACGCCCTCCTCAGCGGTCCAGGGAACGCGCTCCTGGAAGGGCGGGGGGCCGCCCAGCTCCTGCAACCATGCCTCGTCGAGCGCCTCGTGCGGCTGCCGCTGCCGCAACCCGCGCCACGGCTCTTCGAAGAAGCGGAGCTGCGTTGCAGGGCAGCCGCGAAGCGCGAGGGGCCACGGTTTGCTCCCGACCGGGGCCCGGGCGGCGTCGACAGCGACCTCCGGATCCGGCACGAACGCCGCATCCAAGGCGCCGCCTCCGCGGATCCACCGGTAGAGCCGGCCCTGCCGATTCGTCAGACAATCGTGGACCCAGCCAAAGCTCGAGGAGCACACGTTCACTTGCTGCTGAAACCATGCATCCCCTGCGTGTGGGTCAGCACGGAGAAGAAATCCGCTGCGCGTTCGAATTCACAAAAACTACAGCCTGAACTTCAGCTCTTGTGGGGGGGGGGGGGGGGGGGGGGGGGGGGGGGGGGCCGGGGGGGCTTTGCCAATGAAGGGGGGGGGAGAGGGGGAAGGGTCTACCCTTTCCGGGGGGGGGGCTCTTCCGGGCCCGGGAGAAGGACCCCAATAGGCCCCCAACCGGCCCCAGAGGGCCCCGAATCATCGAACGATCGGCCCACGAGCCAAAGACTGGCCTCCATGCCGCCCAAGGAGCTTTCAGGACGCCCGCAAAAGCTTCCAAGAGGGCTCTTACCATTTCTTGCTCATGGGGCCCATGTTCATAGAGGGAGCACTGACCAGTCAGCATCTTGTCGAAGGAGCATGACTTCGCAACTGCCCTCGAATTTGCTCCCTGAAGAGGCCTATATCATACGAAGCAGACGTAAACTGCTAAAAGATGCGGTCCACACTCGGCCAGATGCCGCACGGACCCTGCCAGCATAAGCCCGATGCACGCAATGCCCCGAAGGCTCGGCTGGCCTTAGGTACGCGGACTCCTGTCTGAGCTGGTCCGTTTACCACTCGAGAGACCATTATTATCTTGCACAGCTGTGTTCTAGAGCTCGGAACTCTTTATTTTCGTTCGTCGTCGTCGTTCGTTCGTTCGTCCTCCCCCCCGGCCACAAAAGGAATCTCCTGGGGGAAGGAGGCGAAAGCCTCCTGTCCCTCGCAGCTCGTTGGCGCAAGAGCCAGGGCACGCGTGCCACCTGTTTCCCCTGCCCCCTCTGCCGCGGCGCTGCCTCCTCGGAACGTTCATCGTCGGGGGGCCGTCCCAAAAAATCGGGGGGCTGGGGAGCGAATTGCTGCGCGCTCTGACTGCGGGGCGGAGGCGGAGGAGCGGGGGCAGGGGGGGCGGGGGGGAGGGAGCATCCTTTTGCCGACGGCTCGGCCAGGCGCGGTCTCGCACGCAAGTCCGTCGAGAGCCTCGCGCCTTCGCGCCGCCGCCGCGCCCCCCCAGGCACTTGCTGAGCACCTTCCCGAGGGGCCCGCGAGACGGAGATCCGACCAGCCTCTTCCCGCCCTCGGACTCCGCGAGCTTGGCGGGCCACCGCTGCGCCGGGCCCCCGTGAGCGTGGCGCGGGACCACGGGGCGCATAAGCGCGCATCGTCGTCGCCCCCTCCTCCTTCTTGTGCACCTTCACCCTGAAGTGTCCGATCAGCTGGCCGACCTTGTTCGCCGTCTCGTACTTGCCGAGCACCTCGTTGAATAATTGAAGCATCTCGGCGACGTGCTTGACCTCTCCATGCTGCGACGCGCCCGCTGTCGGCGCCCTCGTAGCTCCGTGGCCGAACGCCGCCGTGAATATCTGGGCGCGCGCCGCGCCCCTTGCCTTGTGGCCCACGGCGTCCCCTGCCTTTTTCCTGGAGCTCGAGCGCGGCCAAGTCCTCGCTGCACTTCTTGCCCGCTGTCTGGCTGGCCGCGACAACCCCGGCGGCGACTGGAGGCTCGAACTCCGCGTGGGGAAGCGCGCCTGGGTCGCCCATGTCCTTCGCGCTGGTCAGGTGAGCTTCGCCGCAGGCAGCGCGATGTCGCCCTTTGCGGCATTATGCTTCTTGGGCTTCGTGCCCCCGTCCTTCTTGCCGCTGCAGTTGCCGCCTCCGCGGATGACGGACTGGCTGCGCCGCGACCGCGCGGCGATCTTCGGGCCCTCGGACACCCCCTTGGACATGGCTGCTCGCTGGCAAGCTATCCGGTGTCAGGCCAATATGTTCAGGCGAGCGGTTGGACAGTAGACGGCTACAGAGGTCGCCCAAGGTCCCTCCTTCATATTCACAGCACGACCACTGTGGAGAACAAGGCTGTTTAAGATATAGTAGCGCGCTCGCTGCTTCACGATGACCATGCCCACGTTTTCGAGCGCGAGATAGATGCTAAGCAGCCGTCGCTTGCGTGGCAAGTGTCTGGTGACCAGCGGCGCAGATGGTAACGAGGGCGAACGCGATGTAGAGTGTAGAGTTTGCGAGCATTATGCGATGACTTGACGCGCAGTAAGTACGCTGGCATCTGGGAAAAACCAGCGCACCATTCATCTCCACGACCAAACCCCCGGCTTCTTAACCCCGTAAAATCAATCAAGCAGACATCCCCATCGCGCCCATATGCGCCAAGAGGCGCGCATTAGTAGCTTCCCGCTCGATCGCGCAATCAGGCAGCACCTCGCAGGCTCGGTCGAGGTCCCGGGCCAATTTCCGCCACCACTGGGTCGCATGCTGGGACGGGCGCCCCGCGATCACGCGTGGCCAGGTGTCGAGCGCCAGCGCGCCGAAAAGAGCGACCAGGGCCTGGGCGCGGCGTTCGGGTCGCCGACCCCATGTCTGATAAAGCCTCTGGTGCCGACTCGTCATCTCCTGGCTGGAAGGCGGCATCTTCCAAAACCATCGGACTTTGGAACTAAGGCTCGCGATGTGCCCCCCCGCATAGTTGGCCGCCTTCCCCCCCGTCGCCGCCCCCCCCCCCCCCAATCTTCTGCAGCGTGGGCCCAGGATGCCATTGTCGCACTTGGGAAGGGCAATGCCCTCCACTCCATATAACAATTCGTAGTTGATCAAAACCCATGAACAAACACCTCTCGCACCTCCTCGCTAGCCCCGCGAGTTTCAACATTCCACTGAGTGAGTGAAAGCCAGAACGAGCAGCAGCGCACCAACGCGCCACTTCGTTCCTCGCCGAGTCCCGCGCGGTGATACGCGGCCCCAAGTACCTGGCCCCCCCCCCTCGCTGCCCTCTTCAACGCAAGACCGCCAGCTCGAATTTGGGCACGGCCAGCATGGCCATGTTGAGCAAAACACACGCGCAACTCCTGCTTGGCGGCGCTTTGAGCAGATCCATGCGTGGACAGGGCCTCGTCGAGGTCTCGGTCCACGCGCGCTCGCGCGCCCAGGAATGATGCACGCGAGTCCTCTGGATCAGCAGCAACTATC